TTACCAGCATTTGCATATCAAAAGAGTTGTAATAACCTATTTGGCACTGAGGAAAATAGGAAAGGAAGGAATGTGCCAGGCACCGTGCCTGGGACCGGATGAGATTTTTAAAATGCACAAGACAAGGCCCCCTCCCTCCAGGACCTTCCCGGCCACTTGGAGAGAGGCAATTGTCCAAATACTTAATATTTGATCTCTTGGCTCCTCCTATGGACAAGGTACTGTCTTTCTTTAAGTGTAAAATGGTGAGTAAAAACAGACCTGTCTCTTCACGTCTGATGAGGGTTGGGAAGCACTCATTAATCAAATAATGACATGCACGATAATAATAGCAGTGATCACTTATCTGATTAGTATGTGCCACACATATTTTTAGTACCTTACATAAACACAATCACTCTCTGAGGGGTACTCTCATTATCTGCATTTTATAGATAACAGAAAATGCAGCACAGAGAGGTTAAGAAACTTGCCTAAGGTCACACAGCAAGTCCAGGCAGTCTGGATCCAGGGTTCATTTTTTTCTTTTATACTTTGTGTGTGTGTGTGTGTGTGAGGAAGATTGTCCCTGAGCTAACCTCTGTGCCAATCTTCCTCTATTTTATGTGGGATGCTGCCACAATGTGGCCTGACGAGCAGTGCTATGTCTGCACCTGGGATCTGAACCTGCGAACCCTGCGTCACTGAAGCAGAGCGTGGAAATTTAACCACTACACTGCTGGGCAGGGCCCCCAGGGTTCATTTTTTAACCACCCACTCTACTGCCTCCACGCTGCGTGCTGCATGGCCTAAACACATTTACAAATATAAGGCCAATGAAGGGAAGATGGATGGTGCTATAAGAACACGTGGGGCCGGCCTGGTGGCGCTGCAGTTAAGTTCACATGTTCCGCTTCGCGGTGGCCTGGGGTTCGCCAGTTTGGATCCCGGGTGCAGACATGGTACTGCTTGGCATGCCATGCTGTGGTTGGTGTCCCACATATAAAGTAGAGGAAGATGAGCATGGATGTTAGCTCAGGGCCAGTCTTCCTCAGCAAAAAGAGAAGGACTGGCAGTAGTTAGCTCAGGGCTAATCTTCCTCAAAAAAAAAAAAAAGTAACAAGAACATCTCATGTCGGCTCAGGTCAACTGAAGGCTGAGCAGTGTTAACTAAGCAAAGAGAGGAAGCAGGAGGGGGACAGACACAAAACTAGTAACAACAGAAGGGAGAGCATGAAACCACCTGGATATAGAAGTTCATTGATGGGGGGGAGGGAAGCAATCTGGGAAGACCTCATGGAGGAGGCAGACCTCGAAAGATGGGTTTAATGAGTAGAGAAGACAGGAAAAGGAAACGTTATGAATTCAGAATGAACCTAATGAATTTTGGGGACAGGGAGACACTGGTTATTAGGATTCTTTCAGCTGTGAGTAGCAGACCCGCAATTTGAACTGGCCAAAGAAAACAAAGACTTCACTGACTTGAGTTGCCAAAAAGTCTGGGATATAGATCTGGTTGCAAGTGGATAAATGATGTTGTTAGGCTATCTCTTCACTTCCTCAGCTCCATTTTTCTATGTTGGCTTTATTCTCAAGCAGTGAAAAGATGTCAGCTCTAGATTTTAACCCATCAGCTCAGCAAATTCAGGGAGTACAGCAGTCCCCTCTTCTCAGCAGGGAATACATTCCAAGACCCCCAGCAGATGCCTGAAATATTCTGAATGGGGATAGTACTGAACCCCACGTATACCATCTTTTTTCCTATACACAGACCTATGATAAAGTTTCATTTATAAATTAGGCACAGTAAGAGATTAACAACAATAACTTCTCTTTGGCATATTCAAATTGCCAGCATCAATGTTCTTGCACTTTGGGACCATTATTAAGTAAAATAAGGGTTACTTGAACACAAGCACTGTGATACCTCGACACACATCTCATAACCAAAATGGCTAAGCGACTAATGGGAGGGTAGCCTTATAGCAGTGGATACCCTGGAAAAAGGGATGACTCACATCCCAGGTAGCATGGAGTGGGACAGCACGTTTCATCACACTCCTGAGAAGGCGTGCAATTTAAAACTTCTGAGTTGTTTATTTCTGGAATTTCCATTTGATATTTTCAGGCTGTGGTTGACAGCGGATAACTGAAACCTTGGAAACTGGACATGGGCTAAGGGGGAAACAAGAGGGGACTACTGTATTTCTTTCCTCAAAGACCTAGGGCTGACTCTCATTGGCTCAGCTTATATTACAGCCTCCTGGCTGAACCAATCACTGTGGCTGGGCCATGAGGCGCTCTCATTGGCCAGCCTGGATTATGTACCCTCCTCTGAGCCAGGGGTCAGCCACAATTGAGCCTTAGAACAGGAGAGGGAAAGCTCCCCAAAGCAGAATCTGGGAGCTGTTATGGCAGGAAGGGGAATATATGCTGGGCAGGCACACACAGACAATGCTACCACAAGTGGCTGGCGGGGGCGGTGCTCCTCCTTTATGCAGTCTCATTTAGAAAGTTCTGGGAAGGGACCTGAGAATCTGTACTTCTCACAGGCTCCCAGGTGACGCTGATGCTGCTGGTTCATGGACCACACTTTGTGCAGCAAGGGGCATACTACCTGGACTGACAGCCTTCCCCAAATTCATTTAGGCTCTTTAGTGCTAGCCTATATCCCATCCTTCCATTTGCCTACTTTTCCCAGTTCTAACTCTGTACCTTTAAACCAGCCTGCTCCTGTATGTGAAACACTTTTCCTCAGTTCTCTCGACATTTTCTTGATTTTACCTCTTATCACCTCCAAATAACGTTTCCTCCTAGAGTGAAGCTGGGGTTGGGATTATTCTGCTTCAGTTGATGCCTGTTCCAATTTAGACCTGTGAATACCAACCTTGTGATAGTGTAAAAATACTTAATTATTCACGAGTCTGACAAGATGTGCTGTGTTCAATTGATTTGTTCTGTATGTAACTCGCTGCCTGAGTTTCAATCTGGATGTCTGTCTCTATTGAACACTTCAGTTTTAGCCTATAGGCTGTTAAAAGGCATGCAAAAATCCTTTTAACTTGCAGATATAGCGCTCAGTAATCAGATGATGTTCAATTTTCGTTATGTCAGTGACGTTTTTAATCCGGGGGATTTGGTAATCCACTGTGCCAATGTTAGCAGAAATACTGAACTCTATTATGGCATAAAATTTCCCTATCATTGAAGGCTTTGGATTAATGCCTTTATAGTGGAATGTCTGTGAAACTGAGTCCCGAGGCCTGAGTTTTGGCCTTGAGGTTGTTCTTGAATTTGTTTTGTGACCTTCCTACAGTCTTTCAACCTTTCTAGGCCTCAGTTGCCCAACTGGTCATAGTTTGGATGTTCTGCTGTCTTCTCCTCCTCTCCCAGGGTGCTCAGCCAGGTGAGCACACCAGCTTCACTTACAGAATGTGGGTAACAGGATCGAAGTAAGATAATTGATCCTCTAAGCCTTATTTTACTGATCTGCAAAAGGTGATGATAATAGCCTCTATCACCTGATAGTTACGGTGGTGACTGAAGATTATGAATGTAAAGAACGTTATGACTGACAATGGGAAGAAATCGAAGTTGGCTACCATCATCATCAGGGTCTATTTGAAATAACGTGTAGAATGGCTTAGCACAAGCAAGAACTTACTTCTTAAATCCACTGAAGTACACAGGGCCAACATGACCCCACTAAAGTTTAGTCAGTTGTTGGTCTTCTTTCATTTCTACCCAGGTCCCAGGGAGATTAGCAATCACCGTTTGCCAAATCTTACATGCATCACCCTACACAGATAATGAAGGAGCGGAAGCGTGATTTTCCCCAGTATGTTACCCTTGGTTAGATAAAAGCTATCGTCAATTACATTAATTTCTTTTCTAATTCAATTTATCATCAAATAGATTGGTTTTAAGAATTATCACGCGTTTAAGAAATAACAACTTTTCTGTTGAAAGCAGTGAACTGCGACCTTGTAGGTAGAATTGTTTCACACGAACACCTCTGCAAAGTGGTGTACATTCGCGTTCTGAGCCAGAAGCCACGACCTTTTACGCAGGAAATGTGTGTACGCCGATACAACACCCTCTGAAAAACCTGGAGAGGCTGGGTGCTCCTGAGAGAGGTATGTTTTTCCTGAGAATGCGGAGAAGTTTGGTTCTCGTTCTTTCCAGATTCAAATCGCTCCTTGGACAGTCCCTGGTCCTCGCCCAGAACCGAGACTTCTCGTCTGTACCAGCTAATGCCACCAACTGCCCGAGCGCGCCGCTCCCGGCCCCCGCCCAGACCCAGATTCCTCCCCCTGCCGGCGCCCTTCCCCAGGCGGCGGCCTCCTGACGCTCCCTGTCCTGACCTCATTTACTTCTCGGGTCCCCGCCGGTGCCATCTGGCTGGAACCCCGGGGAGAAACGAAAAGTCGGACGTAGTCACCTCTATCCCTTGCCTTCTCTCCTCGCCAAGAAATAAACCCCCGGGGCGCGGGAGACAGGCGGCAAGAAGGAAGAGAAAGTGAAGACCGAGAGCGGCCCCGGCGCCCGCCTCCCCAGGCCGCGCTCTGCCGCGGGTGGGCGCTGCACGCCGGGAGCGGCCGCGGGCTCCCCGGAGGCGCCCCGGGCCCCCAGGCGGTCGCCGGCGCTCGGGGTCTGCGCGGGGGGCGGCGGGGCGGCTGCGGCAGCCGCGCGAGCGAAGGCCTGGCCCCGCATGCCGGCCCAGCAGAGAGCAGCAGGAAAGACAACGGAAAGGAGAAGGCCGAGCCGGCGGCGCGGGCGGGCGGGCAAGGGTGGAGGGGCCGCCCAGGCTGCGGCCGGGGCCGGAGCCCGGGCCGGGGCCGGGGGCGGGCGCGCAGCAGAGCGCTCTGGGCGCGGGGCGCGGGCTGCACGCGGCGCGCTCGGGCCGCCCCTCCTCCCGGCGCCGCCGGCCGCGGCCCAGGCTCCCTCGCTCCGCCACTCCCCGCCCTCCGCTCTCCCGCCCGCCCTCCCCGCGTCCCCGCCCTCCCGCCTCCGCCTCCTCCCTCCCGGCCTCCCTCTCTCGGCCAAACTGCCAGCCGGACCCCAGGCCGCCTCCCCGCCGCCGCCGCCGCCGCCGCCGCCGCCTGGCCTCCGCGCGAGCGCTCCACCATGGACAGTCCTGTTTTCACCTTATAAAGATGGCGGTGCGGGATCGCTGCAACCTTTAGACTAATGACTGTCCGAAACATCGCCTCCATCTGTAATATGGTGAGTGGCCGCCGCCGCTGCAGGGGTCGCGCCCGAGGCGGGCGAGGCGAAGAAAGGGAAACCCGAGCCGCACACATGCCCGGCGCGGGGCGGGGGCGCGGGCGAGGGGGCGGCTGGCCGTGCGGGCGGGCAGAAGTTCCCGGCCCCCGGCTGGGCGGGCCGGCCGCAGCCCCAGCAGCCGGGGGAGGGTCTCCGTGCTCCCCGCCCCCCGCCCCCGCTCAGCCCCGGACCCCGGGCCGCACAGCTCTGCTCCGCCCTCGGGTGGCGGTGGGAGCGTGTTGGGGGGAGGGGGAGGCCGAACCCGGACGTCCCGGGGGAGGGGGCTGGGAGATAAGCTGGCGCGGGGAGCACCCATCCTGTGCTTGCGGGAGATAAAGCCCTGCCGGATGCTCTGACCGCCCTCATCTCATTTTGAGTTCACTCCTTAAACTGTCTTTAAAATTCACTTTGCAAAGGCAATCGGTGTATCTGGAGAAATTTGAAATGTACTAAAGCTCTAAAAAAGTGCAAAATCGTGGTTACAGAAGTGAACTTCTACCAGGTTTGGGAAAGCAGGGTAATTTGTTTTCGATGCCTCAGTTTCCCCATGTGTGAAAGAGGCACAAGGTTATATGGCAGTCACATTTGGAGACCCGAAGGGCAGGCTGGCTGTGGGCGTGGAGGAGGCTTCCAGGGTTATCCTGCCTGGTCCATTGTAGACCCGGCTGAGGCTGGTGGGCGTGGACACAGCAAGGGGACATCGCTGGGCTCTGATGGGGGACTGGGTCATGACGTGGTGGTCACTTGGGTTTCTCCCATTGCATTCTCTTCCTTTTTAGTTTCTGCAGGAACAGCCTCCAGCCCTTGGGTCCCCAGGGTGCACCCTGCTGGCACCCACACTTATCAGAGCCTTGGGGAGCACAGCTTACCTCCTGGAGTAAGGCACTGCCCTCCTGTGCAGGGTGAGAGCAAATGTGCTTTGCCTTAGCTCTCCAGGGTCAGCCCCTCTATAGCTTCCCTCCTCCCAGCTGGAGTATGTGCTGTGCTCTTTAATGCCAGTTTGGGGGAACCTCCCTTGAAGCTAATAATACAGGCCCCTCCAGGGAATCCGAAGAGGCCTGATTGACAAGCCTGGGGGTAAGGTGATCTTCTGGGTGCCCTTCCCCCACCAGACAGCTTTTTAAATCTTTCCCACATTCTGTTGCAAGATTAACACATGGCAAAGGAGCCTTAAGGAGCCATGTGTTAGCTCAGGGGTGGGAGAGAAGCCCACCGGTGCTGGCTTCAGTTTTCAGCACTGTGAGACGTGGCCACTGCTGTGGGGGTTTTCCCAGAGTAGTGATAGCTGCAAAGATATTGGCACAGGACCACTTAGATGTGGTGGGTAGCTCCTGGAGCGTTTCCATTTCCTCTCTTTTCCTTCCTTCTCTAGGCAGAGTGGCGTCTCCTGCCCCTGCCTGTCGAGTGGCATTAATGTTGCTGGGTGCAGTGAAAAGGGGATGCCTTTCCTCTCGGTTTCTCTCTCTGGTGTGACCAACTCCTGAGGGGAACTGGGAAACCACAGCAGCTCTCATTCTTTCTTGCCTGCTGGGGTGGCCTCAGGCTTACAGGGCCGTGAAGCATGGTTCCAGCCCTTGGTGCCAGCCCTTGGTGTCGTTCCTGTCCTCCTTGTGTGTGGTGACACCTCTCTGGATTGAAGCAGGCTGGAAACCTGAGAGCCAGCGTGTCCCAGGAGGAAGTCAGCCTCCAGGTTTTTTTCCCCTGCCCTCAGTGCAGCCGGGGCTTCTCGGTACACCTGGCAGAATGTCACAACCTGTTTCCAGTAAAACTCAGCCAGGGAGGCAGGCTGCAGGGAGCATGTGAGAAGAGCAGGCCAATACTGTGTCTGGAGAGTTGACTCCTCATTTGGAATCTCTAAAAAGGTACCAAATTTAGGATCATCACCCGGGTGAGATGAGGAACTAGTCATTCGTAAGTAGAGAGTTTTGTGTTGCTATTGGGACCACTGTGTCTTGAGCAAGTGATGAAGGGTTTGGGCTCTAAAGTCAGACTTCCTGGGTTCAAGTCCTGGTTCTAGCATATACTAGCTTTTTGTCCTTGAACAGGTTTCTCTCTTCCCTTATCTATGAAAGGGAGATGATAATAGTTCCCACCTCCTAGGACTGCTATATTAAATGAGTTATTGAGCCTAGTACTTAGCAAGTACTCAGTGAGTGTTAGCTGTTATCAACATCATCTTTCTCATTATTATGTCACTTTCAGTTGTTTAAAGGACAATGGAGGTTATACCTTCTTGGATCTGACGGAAGCAGCCACTGATATAAACAACCCACATGTTCCATTATGCAAACCATGCCCAAGGGCAGTATACAAAGGGTGGGATGGGAAGTCTTAACCCCGCCCCTTTTAAAAGCAGCTCAGGTCATCCCTGTCCCTCCCAGTCTCACTTCCCAAGTGAAAAGGCTTGGTAATGAGGAGACGGCAGTCTTTTCACCTGATCATACGTAAGTTTTCATTGGACGTCTCTTTAGACTCTTCGCTCGATGATGAATTGTTTCCAGGTAGGTCTTCTGCAGGTCTCTCCTTACTGTTTAGCATCTCTCTGAGGCTCTGATTGATCCTTCCCACTCCTAACTCCATTTGATCCCAACTGGTTCGAGTAGTTGTAAGAGCAAGTGGTGATTGCATGTTTTTTTTAAGCAGGTCAACTGGCATATTTTAAACAGGCTGATGTGAGTCCAGAAAGGGTCTTACAAGATATCGTTCTTATAGGTAAGACTTGAACAAACCAAGACCTAGCATTGAAAAGTGGATTTGTTTCTTCTACCAGACAAGAAAGGACCCAACAGAGCAGAAATGAAACTTGTAGCAAATCCTTCATGTGATTGAGAACTAAACACTTTCTCTTTCCTTCACACTTCTTGTGCTGGTTTTACATATAGAGGGTCTTGGAAAATAAATACTCAATCCCCTCACTTGTCTCCTTCCCCACTGAAGTTTTATCGCCCATTGAAAGTTTAATGCTAGTTCCCATTTGTTTTAATTTTACTTCCATGTAAATTCCTGCCATAGTGAATCTTGATCAACTCGCCCAGGGCATGTCACCTTAGCCATACATCATGTCTAGTTCAGAGATAGTAAAGCTTGTTTGGCTGGTGTGTTGTAATTTTTAAAATGCACTTGCTACCAAGCACGAGGAAATGTACCTTGTTGATAATCTTCTGATTTTTGTCCAGAACAATGGATTAAACTTCCTGCATATTTTTATGGCCCTACAAATGGAAGGGTTCTTTTTGGGTAAGTTTTCTGTTTAAAGAGCTTGAGGAATTTTCTAAAGAGGAAGCATCTGTTAGGAGAAACCAAGTGTACCCTCTAGAAATGTGACTTGTAGCAATGCAAATTGTTCTAAATTATCTAATCTTAAGTTCATTTGTTAATAGTGCTGTAAGATGTACCACAGAGGAAATGCCGTGTGTCAAATAGATTACATTTTAGTTCCCATAAATGGCCATCTGTTGAGGACCTGTTATGTTAGTGTTGGCACATTCTATGTGCAGGTGCTTCATAAATGAATGAGGTGGGTCCATATCCCCAAGGAGCTCAGTGGTTTCTTATCTTGTGGGCATAACATTGGTAAAGATGAAACAATTTCAATACAGTGTGCAGTGTGCTGTCTACACGGAAACAGGTTGAACAGAATTGCAGGTACAGTGGGAAGATGGATGAACGCAGCAGGACATTAATATAATTTGTGTTTGACCAAAGGGTGGCTATTTTTTATTTTATATGAGACTATGATTATAGTCAGTGTAACTTAGAACTGGAATCTGTACCATTGGGCATCTCTCCAGTTAAGCATGAGTCTAATGGTACCTTTTTGATAAATTGTTGTATTTCTTGGGACCTTAGTTTTTCTCAACTTGTAAAACCGATATATATTTTTTGGTCGTAGAAAGCTTCTTAGTAGTATTTCTTAGAGTATTTATAAAAATCTATACCTGTTAATTGGGTAGCAAGGATTTGATTACCTATCTTATTTCCAACTGTGCCTAACGTACATTTTAGTATCCACTGAACAACCCCAGGTATCACCAGACAGCATTGTGAGTGCTGGCTTTGAATCCTTTTCAATAAATGAGGTCACCTTGATATGAAGGGAAGAAAAGTTAGTAAACATTTGAAACAAAGCTGGAGGATTTTCATATGGATCATTTTATCTTGGTAAGTCAATTACTTACCTGAGGCAAGTATTTTGAGAATAATTGGAAGATTTTTTAAAAAATTATTAGACAATATGCACATCTCATAATTTCGAGGGAGCGATAATTTGCCTCTCCTCTATCACTGTTACTCATGCTTCTCCTTCACAAATAATTGGAGCCTGTGCGTTTAGTTTAGCGTATCAGCTGGGAGAAGTTACAGTCACCTGTGAGGGTCTGCCCTGATCATTGTCCGATTTCAGAAATTGCAGCCTGAGGTGCGGTGGTGGGTTAATGTTTAAAGGAAAATTCTGTTCTTTGGGCCTGTCAGGTCTAATATGTAGGAGTTTGTTTGGGGTCAGGACCTGACAATTAGGTCTGCAGATTCTTCTCTGTTTTTCTTGGAATCCTAGGGGAACACAAAGTTGAATGCTAAAATGTAGTTAGAATTAAAGATTGTAATACCATTTTCTGGATAGCAACTTTACGTGTTCCGGTTCACCCATACAATAAAACGTATTTATTTATTTTTTGCTAATGTGGAGTTTTGGTATGTTTGGGTTGTAATGGAAAGCGATTTTCAGTTTTGATTCTCGTAGCAATTAAGAGAAATTTCTCTGGTTCACATGTCTCTCTTTTTTCTCCAGCTTGGTCTGTCTGGTTAATTTGAATGGGTTGAGGTTTTATGATGGTGTTGAGTTCTGCAATATCATCAGAAAGATATCTCTTGGCACTTTTATCTCTGGCCTACCCGTGGAGCCAGCCCAAAGTAAACTGACTGGAAGAGTTGTAAAAGATGATGTCTTTTAGTCTAGTTAACTC